TAAAATAGAATTATCATAATTATCATTTGAGTTAATTCTGTATTGAAAAGTATAGATAAAACGTTTCATCTAATTTTTAAATGATTATTTCACCCTAAAGGTTGTGTGTTTAATGTTTATTTGCGTACATTAACTATTCTTTCAGGAGCTCCAGGTAGATTAATAATACATAATGCACATAATTAATAATACATAATAATACACACATAATGCTGAGTTTGTAATCTGTGTGGTTCTCTGTCAGATATCGCTCTGGATCTGAGCAGCTCGTCCTCGTCTGTGTTTTCTGGTTATGTGATGGAGGGATGGATGCAGCAGAGGATGGAGAAAGGTGGAGGAAGGAGTTACGGATCTCTCTCTGACACTCCTTCAATAATCACTCTTCCTCCTCCTCTTTCACCTCCTCAGCGAGGGTCTCCCTTTCACTCGCTCTCTCTGTCCCGAACGCCGCCTCTGAGGACTATCTCAGCCCAGGATCTGGAGAAGAGCTTCCTCTGAGCGTCTGTGTGTGTGTGTGTGTGTGTGTGTGTGCTCCCCTTCACTAGCTCTCTCTGTCCCGAACGCTGCCTCTGAGGACTATCTCAGCCCAGGATCTGGAGAAGAGCTTCCTCTGAGTGTGTGTGTGTGTGTGTGTGTGTGTGTGTTCTCCCCTTCACTCGCTCTCTCTGTCCCGAACGCCGCCTCTGAGGACTATCCCAGCCCAGGATCTGGAGAAGAGCTTCCTCTGAGTGTGTGTGTGTGTGTGTGTGTGTGTTCTCCCCTTCACTCGCTCTCTCTGTCCCGAACGCCGCCTCTGAGGACTATCCCAGCCCAGGATCTGGAGAAGAGCTTCCTCTGAGTGTGTGTGTGTGTGTGTGTGTGTGTTCTCCCCTTCACTCGCTCTCTCTGTCCCGAACGCCGCCTCTGAGGACTATCTCAGCCCAGGATCTGGAGAAGAGCTTCCTCTGAGTGTGTGTGTGTGTGTGTGTGTGTGTGTGTTCTCCCCTTCACTCGCTCTCTCTGTCCCGAACGCCGCCTCTGAGGACTATCTCAGCCCAGGATCTGGAGAAGAGCTTCCTCTGAGTGTGTGTGTGTGTGTGTGTGTGTGTGTGTGTGTGTGTGTGCTCCCCTTCACTCGCTCTCTCTGTCCCGAACGCCGCCTCTGAGGACTATCTCAGCCCAGGATCTGGAGAAGAGCTTCCTCTGAGTGTGTGTGTGTGTGTGTGTGTGTGTGTGTGTGTGTGTGTTCTCCCCTTCACTCGCTCTCTCTGTCCCGAACGCCGCCTCTGAGGACTATCTCAGCCCAGGATCTGGAGAAGAGCTTCCTCTGAGTGTGTGTGTGTGTGTGTGTGTTCTCCCCTTCACTCGCTCTCTCTGTCCCGAACGCCGCCTCTGCCCAGATAGCACAAGTCTATTTGATGTTATATTTACATCTGGAAGACGTATTTTTAAGAGTGTTTGCTCATCTGCAAGACGTCTATAGGACGTTTCCTGTCAGATGTCAAATAGACGTTTAAAAGATGTCTTTAAGATGTAATGATTTAGAATGCATGTTAAACTGACATCTTCTAAACGTCTATTTGACATCTGACAGGAGACGTCCTATAGACGTCTTGCAGATGAGCAAACACTCTTAAAAATACGTCTTTCAGATGTAAATATAACATCAAATAGACTTGTGCTATCTGGGTGAGGACTATCTCAGCCCAGGATCTGGAGAAGAGCTTCCTCTGAGTGTGTGTGTGTGTGTGTGTGTGTGTTCTCCCCTTCACTCGCTCTCTCTGTCCCGAACGCCGCCTCTGAGGACTATCTCAGCCCAGGATCTGGAGAAGAGCTTCCTCTGAGTGTGTGTGTGTGTGTGTGTGTGTTCTCCCCTTCACTCGCTCTCTCTGTCCCGAACGCCGCCTCTGAGGACTATCCCAGCCCAGGATCTGGAGAAGAGCTTCCTCTGAGTGTGTGTGTGTGTGTGTGTGTGTGTGTTCTCCCCTTCACTCGCTCTCTCTGTCCCGAACGCCGCCTCTGAGGACTATCTCAGCCCAGGATCTGGAGAAGAGCTTCCTCTGAGTGTGTGTGTGTGTGTGTGTGTGTTCTCCCCTTCACTCGCTCTCTCTGTCCCGAACGCCGCCTCTGAGGACTATCCCAGCCCAGGATCTGGAGAAGAGCTTCCTCTGAGCGTCTGTGTGTGTGTGTGTGTGTGTGTGTGTGTGTGTGTGCTCCCCTTCACTCGCTCTCTCTGTCCCGAACGCCGCCTCTGAGGACTATCTCAGCCCAGGATCTGGAGAAGAGCTTCCTCTGAGTGTGTGTGTGTGTGTGTGTGTGTGTGTTCTCCCCTTCACTCGCTCTCTCTGTCCCGAACGCCGCCTCTGAGGACTATCTCAGCCCAGGATCTGGAGAAGAGCTTCCTCTGAGTGTGTGTGTGTGTGTGTGTGTGTGTGTGTGTGTGTGTGTGTGTGTGTGTGTGAGAGAGAGAGAGAGAGAGGGTTCATTTTACAGCTGTATGCAAAAGTGACGTGACCTCTGACACATTATACGGCTTCTATAACCTCTGCTGCAAACATTTAAACTTGACTAAGCTCTTCAGATTTCAGTGCAGGGCTGCTGTTATTGTGCTGAATGTAACATTCTTTAAAGATTTAATGATCTATTCTATTGTGTTCTGTTCATTTCTGTTCTGTTCTGTTGTTCTTTTTTTGTTCATTTTCTTTCCTATTAATATAAAAAATGTTACACTGATTAAATATTTTGTGTATAGAACGCTATTCTCTGCTGTTGTTCACCTCTTCTTTCTATTCTATCATTTATTTTCTGTGCTGCTGCTTTCTATTCTATTGTTCACTGATGTCCTCTCTAGTCTGTTATATTCTATTCATTTCTGTTCTGTTGTTTTCTATCCTATTCTATTTATTTCCTTTGCTATTAATATACAGAATATAATATATTTGTGATTGTAAAGTTCTATTTTATTCTTTAAAAATGTAATGATTTGAATAGCATGAACTGGAACAGAATGGAATGGAATTCAAATGGAATAGAGTTCAAATGAACAGAACAGAATTGGGCTCAGCTGCATCTGCTCTTGTAGTAAACAATATTTGGCAACACTTCACATTAAGGTTCATGTGGTTAACATTGGTTAATGCAATTCTAAGAAAACACAAGATTCATATTTGACAAGTTGTATAAATTAACATGAATGTATTTTGAAATAAATCAATATAATATCCACTAACATTAAAAACTTTGGAGTCTGTACTATTTTTTACATTAAATTGATAAATAATAATTAAGTTTCTGAATAAAAGATCACTTTCTTTACAAAAAAATGTATCATCTTTGTTTAGCTGTTTATTTATTTTTTAAGAAAATATTGGCCTTTAGCTTCAATTACGACCTAGATCAGTTCTCTAATTTTGGAAACATGTTTTGTTTACTTGTAATTACTCAGTAAATGTAAAATTATTGTTGTTTGCTTAGGACTAGGGAATAGTGACTATATTTTAAACAGAAATAATATGTCTCTCAGGAATCAGGATCAACATTACTGACACAGACAATCACAGGAGAACGTTAAACGTCCTGTTCGGGTTGATTTCAGAGTAAGTTAAAGGACGAAGTACCGTGTGTTTGATAGGAATGTTGTTCCTGAACCAACAAAACATCCCGTCCTATTTGGCGCACTCACAGCTCGGGTCCTTTAGTTGTTTGTAGTGGCATATTGTGTCCACTAAGTGTCTCGCATCTTATTTGCCTTGTGGATTAAAATTAGACAGCTAGTGTGCGTGTATGCCAGGGTTAGGGATCGGGGCCCGATCACACACACACACACACACACACAGAGGGAGGGTTTAAGTCGTGTGAGCACGCCGGCTCTTCACTCTTACAGATTTACTGTAATCTCATTTCAGCACCTTGGACAGTGACACACATTGACACCAGACCTTCATCATCCATGTTCATCACAACCCTTAAACACAACCACAGCGTGTTAAACTAGTCAAACTGTTTCTCTGAGTCTAACAGCATATCGTTGGTGCAACTCGCAAATAAAGTTGTTTAGACACTAATGCTGGTTTCATTGTCTTGTACCCCTGGCTTTTCTCCAAGAATTGATCCACCGGTATTCCTTTGGGAGTGTCATTCCAGGAATTATGTTTGAGGCACCGGACATGGAATTATGTATACAGTTTTGTTGTCTGCCACTTTAAATGCTCGCGCTCAGAGTGGATTTTGATTGGCTGTCAATGTATTTTTTTTCGTTCATATGATAAGGGGGGCATTTTATTCATTTATTTTTTTTACAGAAAAACGATATCGTTTCTTTGTGTCTTTATTGTTGTGGTGTGGGTTTAATTTTTCTCATAGAAATAATAAGGCCCTTCACACCGAAAACGAAAACTACGATAATATTAGCAGCCGCTCTCAAACACTTATTAGCCTATAATAGCGCACCCTGGAGGTATATGTATTTTGTCACTTCAAATGCTCAAGCAGGAGAGATTCTGATTGGCTATTATCGTCTGGAAAAATTGTTTTGAAAGTAATTCCAACCATATCGTTCCTGTGTGTAGTTATCGTTATAGTTGTGGGCACTATTCTTTTAAATTTATAACGATTTTTACAATTACATTTTGTAACGTTATCGTAAAGGCACATTCATCACACCATGAACGATAACGATCCTAACGTCCACACAAACGCTTTAAATGCTCGCGCTCAGAAAGGATTCTGATTGGCTGTCAATGATTTATCGTTCATATAAGTGGGTTAAAAAGTCGTTATGAAGTGATTCAAACGATATCGTTGCTGTCGCTATCGTCGTGGTGTGGACTTCATTTATTCTCATAGAATTAGAACGATTGTTAACTTTTGAAAGGATTATGGTTATTGTTATGCCAGTAGCTTAGTCGTCCTTGATGTGAGGGTGCCTTTATGTGTGTGTGTGTGTGTGTGTGAATGGGTGTATGCGCGCCCGCGTGTCTGTGTGAGGGAGAGTATTAGCGTGTGTGTGTGTGTGTGTGTGTGTGAGGGGGTGGGTGAGTGCTTGTGAGTGAGAGCAGGAGCGCGCAGATCTCGCCCGGTCCCGCAGTGAGTTGTAGAGGATGGAGGTCCGACCTGAGCGCTTTAAAGCAGCAGCGGCCAAGACACTTGGAAGAATAAACCGGTAAGACGCTAAAATAACTTCTTAAAGTTTTAAAGAAATGCCTAAGCCGGTTTGTGTGTTCATATTAACAGTTGAATGTCTAATTCTGCATAGTTAAAGCATTAAAACAGAGCTGAGTGAGGTCTAATTCTGATCAAAACTATTTAGCCAATATTTGATATTCATCATAACATATATTGTAAAGATAAGATGTTGAGATGGAGATGGTGGGATTATGAGCTGAGGTACAGGACCGCAAACACACAATACAGTCACATAGAAGATAAAGACAGGATTTAAGTCTCTGTTTCTGTGCTTTGATGCTTGTTTCAGTGACATTAGACATTGAAGAGATCCTCGTTTGTGTAGTTGTTTGTCTGGTGTGTATGTGTGTGTGTGTCTTTATTAACGCGACCAGATTAACTCGACTGGACTCTATTAATAGCGACTCTTGTCCGGTTTGTGTCGTCACATTTCACCTGTCAGGTGACCACTTCCGTTCTGCATCATGGCATCATGTAAAGATGCCCAGATTTAGAAAAATACACTTGATAGGGTGTTTATGTTACTTTAAGCGTAGGCTACTGATCATTTAAAACACTCCCTGGTAATATACATTATACATTTTTATAATATACATTTTTTGTTGAGTAGTAGGCCTACTGTTCAATTGTATATTTGACCTTAATGTAGCCAATGCTGCATTTACCCTTTACAGTGTTAGTTACCATATATAATGTCCACATTTTGCATTAAATTATTAGGCTATATTATTATAGCTGCACTTTTAGGATTTTCTGCATTTATAGTTTTTCACTATGTATCTTAGTTTTTTTGCAGCTAAACTTGCTTCTGAGATTAATTATAAAATAATTTAAAATTAATAATATATACTTCCCTCACAATGTTCCTGTTATAAATGGGCAAACCAAACAACCTATTCATTATGTAGGGCAAAATAACTATAAATAATGCACTTGTTATAGATTTTAGATTGTAATTCAGTGAAAAGGATTTATTAAAGAAAACTATATTGTGATAAAGCAAAAAGATAATGAACTAAATATGAAATGCTTTCTAAAACAAGCAATCAAGACTTTTGTTTCAGCAGTAAATTGTTAAATATTGGTTTGTAATGAACACTGGTTAAGTGTTAATGTGTCAATTAATACTTAATGACATTCAATATTTCATATTATAATCGATTCTTCAATGTCAATGGAATAATTAGTAATATTAAAGGTGCATATTAAATAAATATTATTCTGCATTTATAGTTTCCTGCAGAAGTACAAGTACTTTTTTTTATCCCCAAGGGCAAAAGGTCTTCTGCAGATAAATATGTAATTAATTTAATCAGTGTTTATACTTGTAAGGATCAAATCAACTTTCATTGATCTGTCACATTAGCATACTGGGAAAAACACATTCTCACTCTCTCTCTCTGTCTGTCTGTTTCTCTGGATTTTGAGCGGTCTTTAACGTGTAAATCCAGTCCTGAAATAGATCTGCAACTAACCTGCTGCTAGTTAAATCCTCTCTCGCTCTCTCTCTCTCTCTCTCTCTCTCTCTCCCACAAGTCATCACGGTCGTCCACGTCACGACTGCTATTACTGGACTGTGTCATTAAACTGTTAGTTCTTCCTGCACAATGTGAGGATGTTGTTACGTATAAACGGCCATTTAAAAGCTACTTCTCTTACTTGAGTATGGATTCCTCTGTAATCAGATCAAATGGGATCAACAGGTTATTATATTGGCCAAAACACCCTCCTCGTCTGCGATAGAAACATGTAACCGTCTGCTCTTCTGATGATGCCGTGCATCATGTGTGGCTTTTCACCATTGTGGTTGAAACTGGTGTATGTTTTGTGCTGTACGAGCCTAAAGCTATAAGCGCTTAAACCCACGTTCCTCCAGCGGACTGAAGCCGTGAGGAGTGGTTCACTTTGCAGCTTATTCTGGACAGGAAGCACTGGTTTAAACAGGAACTGACGTGGACTGATGCATAAAGTGACCAGCAACCGTTCAATTTGGTTTTTGTGACATTTAGTAAATCTAATACTGAAATGCGTAAGAATTGAGAATTTCTCCATCCAAATAATAGGAGAATAAATAGTTTCTCTGCATAGTGTTATTTTAGTATTTATTTATAGTTTCTATTCATATATTCAATTAACTTATATTTAAAAATGTAATTTTTTAGGATTTTTGTTATGTGCTTTTGTCATTTCTTTACTATTTATGTCTGATTTATTTTCTTTTTTTGTTGTTGTTCAGTTGGTTTTTTATTTCAGTGCTTCAGATTAAACTTATTTCAGTTTGTTGCCTGAGCAAAATTTCTTTTTTTTCATTTTAATCTTTATTTTATTTAGTTATTTTATACAAGAGAACACTTTCAGTCTTTCTTCTTCAAAATTTCATGTTTAAATCAACGTGTTAGCTGCCGTTTCTGTGTAATTATTTGTGAAATTTTCTAGCAAATTGTTTCAAAGTATTTTTTGCAGTGTAGATGGGATGCATGAAACTGGATGAACTGATTTAGGAGAACAGAAGGGAAGAATGGATGGATGGAGGGGGAGGGAGAAGAGAGGCAGAAAAAGACTAAAATAGAAGGTTTGATCAATAATTCAGACTCTGAGGAACATGATTATTTCATCAGCTGCAGTGGTGCTGTAACCTGACGGTAAGAGTCTGTACTTAACAGTGATGAGAGATTCACATGGACCTTCACTACTCTGTAAAGATACTTGTACCAAAGGCCAGATCTTTGACACATCTGATGTGAAATTGTGTGGTCTTTAAGTGAAGCTTATTACTCCTGCACATATTTAGGGTTATTGTAAGGTTGATTGTGTGTGTCTTCCTGCAGTGTTTGTGCTCCAAACATGAACGAGTCCTCAAATCATGCGTCTTGTTGAGGGAATTATTGTGCTGTTACTTCACTAAAGTTGTGTCACCATACACTACTGTATGTACTCAAGTGTGTAGTGTATGAATTAAGGTTATTTTGTCATTCCCCCTTCGTTACATAATTAAAGCTGTGACAGTCGAAGTGTCCAACATTCCACTCTTCATTTTTTCAGTTAATTAAGTGCATCATCCGGGTTTTTAAAGTGCACGTTTTCTATATTCGGAAAACTCTCTACTCACACTATTTATACTACAAAACGTCATAGAATAGTGCATTTAAACTGGGAGTTTTGTACAGTCAAACACCACTCACATATTATTCTGAAGATATTTATGAATATTTAATGTGATTCTGTGATGTTTGTGGTCAGAGGAAACTGCGTGTTTAATCTGGATTAGATGTGACACATCGGTTCATTATGAATGTGAACTGGGAAGCGTTTCACTACTTCCTCTTATTTTTGCTTCATGAACATCAGAAACTCGATTTTAAATGAGAATCCACAGCATTAAAATGTCTTTAAAAGCTAAACTCTGAGATGTTTCTCCTAAAATTCCTTAAACACAAACAGATGCATATCAAAATTGTCATACCTTAAGAGTTTAGAGCTATAAAATAATTATTGCTGTATGCAAATGAATTATTAATGTGCACTCAAAAATATTTATGATTCCATTTAAGATGTGTGTATTTGAATTGCATATACAGTTTCGATCCATTTGGATTACACAGTTTATCAATAAACTTAATGTGATGCATATTTGTCCGTCATAAATGAAACATGTACGATTTCTGCACTCAAAAAATCATATTATTAACTCTATTTGATTAATAATATTTTCAGGATGCATTTATTCAAATTTCTTAGAATCAGCATAAATGTGTTCACAGTGATTTAAAAAAAAAATATTCAGTTAAAAAATATGGCTAGCTGTGGAACTAGCAATAAATTAGTTAAAATGTATGAGATTCGATTGATTGATAATAATAATATGAACCTGGTTATTGCATATTTAACAGTTTATTAGTGCTATTACAGAAATCTGACCTGTTTCTTTTCATTTATGTATGACTGCGCATCACATTACATTTATTAGCTTGTGCTAAAACTGTGTAATCCAAATGGATGAAAATGTTACATGCTGTTCAAATACATACAGTAAATCTTAAGTTTAGCCATATAATTGAGTGTGGAGCAGCTCAGAGTATATCTTGTAAGAATTTGATGAGATTCTCTGGTTTGTTGATCAATCTGAGCACATTTTAAGACTTTATTAAGGTTTGTTTCTCAGGAGAACCACGAGTCTTTCTTCAGCAAAAGCCTCCAGCTCTCTCATTACTGTCTAGGGAGAAAGAACTGAGATATTACAGATATTTCTCAGTTTTCGCAGCGGATTCTCAAGTTGGAAGGCTTTAGTGGTGTATGAAACAGCTGAAAGAGCATTTGTGTGTTTGTCAGGGTTCTGGAGAAGCGTCAGGAGAATGGCGAGACGATTGAGCTGTCCGCGGAGGGTCGTCCTGAGCTCCAGGAGGAGAAGGATCTTCCAGTGGTGGACTGCACGTGTTTCGGCCTGCCCCGACGCTACATCATCGCTATACTGTCCGGCCTGGGATTCTGCATCTCCTTCGGGATCCGCTGTAACCTCGGTGTAGCTGTGGTCAGCATGGTGAACAACCACACCGTCTATAGAGAAGGCAAGCCGTACGTCGTGGTAAGTTGGATTTCGTGTGCGACCAAATTTCAGAACTATTTTCACCGCAGCACTTTCAAGTTTTTCCATGCAAATTTGGTATTGTTCTCGAACCCTTAATGTGACTATATTTCCATTCAAAGTTGCGAATTTAAAGTGTGTGCAAAATTGGAATATCACGTAAAACATTTGCGAATAAAGCAGCGTTTCCATCCAATGTGTTCAAGAGAACAAAATCGTCACTTCCTGGGAAATTGGCGCAAAATATCTCTGTAATAAAACTGGTGCCACTGTGGCTCTTTATTCCTCCATCATAAATGACTTGCGTGTCAAAATGCAATAAACGCTGTCATGATCTCTTGCGTTCGGATGCTGGTGTTTGGGAACACAATCATGTGAGATGCTTCTGAGAGGGATTTAAAGTGACACCAGGCAAGTCTGAGTGTTTTTTCTCTACGAAGCTCCCCCTAGCTCCCCCTGGTGTCTGGTAGTAAATGCTTTCAAACACACTGTCGTAAAAACGAACTTGTTCCTCCCATAGACAGTATAAGAAGTGGACAGAGCCATCTCATTGGAACTCAGTTGAGACAGTTGAAGCCCATTTTTAGCGATTTTTGGGCACTTCCGTTCCTGACGCGCAGACTCAAACCGACTCAAACTAAGCTTGATGACGTGAGCAACCTGTCTGACAGACGTTACTCTTCTAGTAGCTGTGCGTGAAAACTGCCAACGTTAATCTTGCAGAGACGGGGAACTTGAGCAAAGAGTTCTTTGGCGTGAGTGAGCAGGAGTAAGTATCCCGTTGCTTTTATGAACTCATTATCTATGGGCTTCTCCCTTGACGGGACGTCCCCCCGATCGCCTGCGAGCTTCTCCTGCTGTCTGTACGGTAACTTCTGTACAGCGCGACAGAGAGTCGAGTGGTTATGACGCAATCGTTAGCCTATTTTTACAATATCTGTTTCTACGGGGCCATAATGTAACATAGAAGATAATGGAGCCCTTTATACATTGTCGTGTTTCTTTAGAAATAAATAATGGACAAATGGAGTCTTTAAACGCCTCAGATGTAAAGTTATTCGCTGTCAAAGTGACGCCAAAATGAATGGGAGTCAATGGAAATGCTAACGCAAGTGAAGTTCTGCTACAACATGGCGGCATCCGGCCGGCTTCAACTTCCGGTCGATGGATTACCCCCTTGGTTCCTCCCCCCTCGCCACGAGCAACCCAGCTGATCAGCTGTCAACCCAGCTGAGCATGAACCGGCTATTTCAAAACTTCAAAACTAATATCGTAACTTCTATATTTGCAAACAATGAAAATATTTTGAGTCTGGGCTTCATTGTAGTTCACTAGGATTTGTAGCATATTATGGATCAATACAGAATGCGATCGGTGAGCCATCGGCTTCTACACTATGTAGCGCACTGCAAAAAAAATCACCCCGGCTCCAAATAAAAGCAAAGTAACACCTGGATGCAATGTGCAAGCTAAATTAGACACACAGAAGGGCAGCATCCAGCTAGATCCACTAGCCATTTAGACGCGGGTAGGATACACCGGTGTCTTGATTTAAAGAATTGGATATCTATTTATTTGCAAACTAAGTTACACAAATAAAACCGACAGAGGAACGGCCAGAAATCAAACGTGTTTGCTAATGACAATGCCAACATCAAAGTTATAGTATCTAGCGTAGCCTACTAGTAAGCCCGTAACAGACAGCAATCATAATAAAAACCTTTACAGACAATAGCAAACATCCTGAGGTCACAATTACTTGAAATTTAAATATAAAACACGTTTATTCCAAAGTTACTTTCAAGTGCAACAGCAAGAAGGCCAGGTCAGCATCCGTTTTGCAGGCTTCTGTTTCTCTCAGTTCTCGCCATTCTGAAAAAGCCGGTCCGATATTTACTCGAGTCTGACTTCTTGTTCGGTCAGTCTCCCGTTTCCTCTTTCGTTGATCCTCCGACAAAGATTCCCTAGCTTCTGCTTCTTATTTACAGGCTCAGCCATAACTCAATCTATCGTTGCCCTTTGCTTAGCTAGCCGGTGCTTGAATGGGGGCGTGTGCGTGTGCAGTGCCGTCAAGCAATTGGTTACATCGCGAGACCTGATATCACGCGATACTTCCTGACGGCGAGGCCCGCGGCCCGACGTCCCAAAGTTGCAAGTGAGTTTTTTCCGCTCTCAGGCACCAGGGGGCTGCGAAACCACCACAAATCAACCCAAAATAAGCAATATAACCATTCCACTGACTTCGAAGCTGTTCAGTTAAGGTAAAAAAGTTACCTGGTGTCCCTTTAAACCAAATCATTCTGATGACAGACTTTGGCTCAGACGTTTCAGAACGACCAAACCAACATTTGAGATGCTGTGATGTGATTGGTCCGCTGGTTAGTCCTGTTATCCAATCACATTCTCAGTTGAGGCAAAGTCAAGGGAGTTTTTTGTTGCACGTGGAGGGATTTATTATGTAAATGTGTTTCCATCGTACATTACTAAATGTTGTGATGTTAATTTGTTCCTCATACATGATTGTTTCAGAAATGAAAAGCTACACACTCCATCAATTAGAGTTAGAAGAACTGTTGCCACACATATAACATGCTAGAAACATAATAATCACTGCAATAATCATCCAATCATAGACTCTTAAGCTTTTGCCTGTTTAAATCCAAACAACGACTTTTTTTGGCCCAGACAGTGTGTTTTATGTTGCATGTCTAATCGGATAAAAAATGTATCCACCTCAATTGAATGCTTATGTTTT